TGAGGATACGACGAAAATGAGGAAATGAATCAAAATTTTTATAGGAATTTAAGACTTTTGGATTGAATATAAAATAGAATATATAATGATGAAAAATTAAATTTCATTCACTTAATAAATTAATCATCAATTTTTTTCAGTAAATGCATCTACTTTATGTTTAAATTTTCCGTTTCTTTGGACGAGAATCTAACGTATCGTTTGCTCCTCATGGTATAATTCCACCAAATTGTTCGATAAAAATTCATTCGATATAATTTTGTAGATTGTATAACTTTTATAACGTTGATGTCTTTTTTTCTGATAAACGCACAATCTTTACGCAAAAATGGTTCACATAAGTGTCCATACTTCAAGAAATGTAAAAATAAGAAGAGCTCTCGGCCGAGTTGTTTTAACCTTCGGTGATGTAAGATTCATGATTTCTCTGCACAGCATACGAAAGAGATAACCGACATTTCATGTTAATATTGGGAGTAGAGCACAAAGTATCATGCATTCGCGATTAATATTCTTTGGTTACTTTTTCTTCAAATTACGAGTACATTGTCCAAATATTTGAGCTACTGTGACCAAATCTTTGAGTTGTTTGACCAAACTTTTGGATCGAAAATTTGCAGCCTCGCTAAAAGTCAAGCGCTAACCATCAGTTTTGAATCTGTTTCACATGGATGATAGTCCACCAATGCGATTAATGCGACCAATGTGCGCTAACTACCCGCTATTCGCAACTTCAACGTGACATCGAGAGGAATAAGAGTATAGTTCATCGGGACACACTTATTCCCTCATCCCCGGATGTTTCAGAGTAACTAACGGTTTTAGTCAATTTGATCAAAAATGTGCCCGATCGACTGAGTCTTTTTGACTGAACTGCCGAAAGAAAGTAATGCAAAGTAACTTAAAGTAACCAACCATGGACACGGAAATTTTCATTGGTGTGAGACATCCTATGCAATGTCTTGAAATTCAAGAATATTCGCAGACTTGAGAATTCGGAAAAAATTCCAGTACATTCAATGAATACCTCAGTGTTATGTGCTCAGAGCAGAGATATATAAATCAGTTTACATCAACATTAGCGGGGAAGCAGACGTATGCAAAATCAGGATTTATTTGGATAACGCGTTCTGAATCGTGCAAGAGACTGGGATTAATGCCACAAAGTAGGAATTCTATTTTATCTAAATTATAGTCAATGATATAAATTAATTAAAATGCATTCTATTCAAAGCGCAGAAAAAATGTATACATACGCTAGCCACCCATAAATGCAATTTCAATTATACAAAGAAAGGAATAACTAGTCACCCTCTGTCAATGCGTCGCTTAAAAATTTCCAAATCAGATAAAATCGTTCCTCCAAGTTCCCGACAGATTCTCTCTAAACTCCAATCATAATCTCAAATGACATCCGTGGATGATTCCACGGATATTATATTCTTTTAACCATTGCTCACCACACTCACACATTTTTACAGAAAAAAGTTAGTTATATTCAACTTAGCTGAAAACTGATGAATGCAGATGATTTGATCAATATTCGACTTGATGCTGGAGAAGTCCTCACGATTATAGTGCACATAATAAATGCCATAAAATAAAATAAGTTGCACGGTATCCTTAAAACATCAAGTTGCCACAGTGAAATATAGGAGAGAACTGAATGCGAACGGAGTGCAATACTTGAAAAAACAGCGTTGCACTCTTATCTGACACTGCAAGCATGCATATATGCATCTGTTTTGTGCTTTTCCCCTTCTTAATGCGGTCGAAAATTCTGACTGCGTTTTTGCATACAAGTGCAATAAGATTAGACTAATCCGTGAACGTGTAAATGGGTCAGTTGCAAAGTATATGGGTTGCAACGTTGCACTCTGTTTCAGACATTTTTTTATGCATACCTAAGCTGAATGCCATCATACATATAAGCTCCAACACCTCCTAAATTTGCAAATCTGGTAAAGCTTAGTTCCAGCGTTCTACCGGGCCGATTTTCTCGATTTTTGCGGCTATCGACAGGCAATTGTCTCTACATGAGCCCGCTTTATTCAGATTTTGAAAATATGATCCAGGTTTTTTTGTGTAAGATGATGTGTTAAATGTTGTGTAAGAATCATGGCAGAAACGGTCTTTCGAACCGTGCCCAATAACAGTTTCTTTGAACTGTGCCGATAACAATTCAGAATTTCAGACTGTCAACATAACAAAGTATAACCTTAATTCATGTTGGCGACTTGATTTAAAAAAAAAAAAAAAAAATTAAAATTAAATCATATGGTCTCATTACATTGTTATGCCAAGTTAAGAGAAAGCTCATCAACGATGAAAGGCAGAAACAAAAATGCGATGGCAAAAATAGCCATATTGCAACATTTGCCGCAAAATCACATTCATAAAAGATAATTCCATTTCTCTCTCTTTATTTCTCTTCATTTATCGTAAGGTGAAAAATTTGTCTTATGAAAATACATCATTACATTTTGCATCGGCATGTAACCTCTAATAATTGGGTAAAGATTCAAATAATACCTACATATACAATTTTAGAAAAAATCATTAATAGATGTTAATAGTTTCACAAAGGCGAGCTCTCCAACACGGTAGTGTTGGAACCAGCAGCTTGTTTTAACATTGATAAGTATAAAATTAGTGTTCTTATTCGTCCGAAATAAGCTATACTTTAGGCTGCTCAAGCTACACTTGATCTTCAGGATCTGCGCTTTTTAATATTGTTCCCTCGTTAACCCCTCCCCACCACCCATTGCTTTCTCCAACCATCTCGCCCATTTTTAATTTTTACGAGCTTTGGCCTAAACGGAGCGAGTGGAGTGCAGTTGCATGCTCAACATGCAGTCGCACCAACTGAAACTGCAGCCGCTTTCATCTTGATCCCATCGCTTTCATCTTCTCGGAAGGGAGGGGAGGGAGAATGGGGGGAGAAGGGGGTGGAACGGAGAGAAGGGGGGCATCTTGAATGATGAATGAGCTGGAGTATTAGAGGCACGTCCGTGATTTATTCCATGTACAGTGTCATCACTCCCGCAAAAATGTAGTTTTGAAAAGTGGAGCATGATTCTGGAAAGTGAGTGAGAGCTCTCCCAATAATAACAATGTAAGCACATATGCGATGCCTTACTTAGTTAAAACGCCGTATGGGCCTGCGGACGTTACCTAATTTCCTTTGTTATTATACGATTTTTTAGAAAAAACTTGCGGTTATTTTCCTGCAATTTTTCCAGAGACACCGTTTAGCAAATTTAATCCGAAAAGTCTGAAAATGTCAAGGAAAAATATTCGTAATTTACTTCGAAAATGATAATTGAATTCGGGGAAACTTGACAACATTCTAATGATCATTTGCTGTTCTTCCTTAGAATGGCTGCATTGCTCATGTTAATGGCCGGAATCCAAGAGCACATGCTTGTTAGTATATATATTTCCGACGTTGCAAATTTGAAGCATGTCGATCAAAAATGCGCAATTCTGTCGCAACTTCTTCGCAATTTTGCGACCGATTCTTACTTTTAAAATAGCCAAATGGAAAATATGAAACCTCTACCTTTTTCTTCTTCTCCTCCCCTTTTTTCCCTCCGAACCTCTCCTACCGTCCCTCCTACTCTCTTTTCCTTTCTAATTTTCTTCCTTCTTCTTCTTTTTCCTCCTTCTCCTTCTTTTTTCCTCATCTTCTCTATTCCTTTCTTACTTATTCCTTCTTCTTCCCTCTCCTCTTCTCCTTCTACCCCTCATTCTACTTCACCTTCTACTCTTGCTCATTTCCCCTCATCGACTTGATTTTCTCCACAAGATAAATCATGCACGTCGCATAACCTCAAAGTTTCAAACCCTGATCTACTCATGAGTAGGAAAACATCCCTATGCTTGCTACAGTTCGTCGCTCCTCAAACGTGAGGGCGTATCTCTATTTCCAGATGGGCCCCACACAGCATATAGTTATACGGAGAACAGGGTTCAAGCGGAAACTGAGATACGCCCTTACGTCAGATGAGCGACGACTTTACCGTCGAACCGCCGCTCATTTATTCGGAGGGGGGGGGGGGGTTTTTTTTTTTGTGGGTGACTATATGCCCGCTCCTCTGATATAAGAGCGTCCCTCAATTTCCACGTGAGCCCTGTGATATGTGACACTCTATGATTTTCGGAGCTCATATGAAGATAAAGATACGACCTTCCGTCAGAGGATTGACGGATTCACCCTCTCGACGGCCCTGGAACTGAACGCCGCAAACTGGGGCGCAAACCCCTCGCTAACAAGCTGAAAGTGGCGTCGCGACCTCCTCCTTCTCTTCCTCCTCCTCCTCCTCTTCCTCCTCCTTCTCCTCTTTCTCTTCCTCCTCTTCCTCCTCCTCCTCTTCTTCCTACTCCTCCTCCTCTTTCTCTTCCACTTCCTCCTCCTCTTCCATCTCCTTTACCTCCTCCACCTCCTCCACCTCATCATCCCCTCCGCCTCCTCATGCCTCCTCTTGGCATAACAACATTGTTCTCGCTTTGAAAGGTACAGCCAAGTACCACCTTTTTACATTTTTACATTTTTTTACCATTTTCTCCAACAGAGGAAGGCTGACTTTTCAGCCGAAACGTTTTGGTTCTATTCGTGAAAATTAGCCTTGTTACCGGCTGTGTAAACTGTTATTTTATTATTGTATATCTTGTTACCGGCTGCGGAGCATCAATCATATCTCATCCTCCTACTTCTCACCCCATCCAGGCGCGTCGACTGCCGGCTGAAAACTGAAAGTCGGTGGAAAATAGATGCGAAACAGAGTGTTTCGATTCATGAAAGCGGGAGCTCCGAGAGGGAGACAAGTTAATGAGTTGCGACGGTCAGGGAGGAGACTGACAGACAGACGGGGCGCCACTCTTGGCGGAGCGGCGAGGGGTCGGGCGCGGGGGTGCGGGGGTGGAAGAGAGAGGTGGTTAATGGGAGATATAAACGTAGATTTGATATTAGCCGCTTATTAAAGACCCAGAATCGGGTCAACGCGGATGCAAGGCAGGGAACCGCACGGGAAGTGCATGGAAAGCCCGAGTGCATTCGCGAGATGGGTCCCGTGTGTTTGTGCGTTGCAGTGCTCCTCGTCGTCGCCGCCGCAGCTTCCGCATCCCAGGTGAGTCACTTTCCCTCCCTCCGATTGGCGGAAATTCGGTTGCGGCAACCGGAGGTTTGATCACACGAACCGTAAGTTCGACTATGAGGTCCGGTCATGTGTTCCGTTTCATTTTAATATACTAACCGAAGTATTCGAGTCATCGAGTTAGACCGCTGGCCATATGGATTGCATTTTACAAAAATGAATCAGAGTAATTGCAATGATGCTAAGATTGTGCATTTTCATTCTTTGCAATAAAATTACTGAAATCATGAAAAAATATGGAATTTACATGGTAATTTGTGTCTTAAATTTACGGTTTTCAGCGAGTAAAATAGAAACTGTTAATGGATAATCGGGTTTTTTTTCCACGACAAAAGAAGTGCACAATCTTAGCAACATTGCAATGCTCCCGGTTCCTTTTCGCAAAATGCAATCCATATGTGCTAAGGAAGAACGCCTTATGAACATTCGGTAGTTGCCAAAGTTTCTCGGCTAGAACATGAAATACTTATTTTTGGAGTCCACTGGGAAGGACCTTTTTCACACTTTAAGTGAAAACTCGATTCAATGAACCGGTTATTTCGGGTTTCATTTTGAAATCAAACGAAAAACATGACCGAACCATTGCGATTTAACTTTCAGTTCGTGTCAGTGAACTTACAGTTCTAAAAAGCAAAATTTCTCCTCATGCGATCAAACATTCACTTCGTTTAAGAGAAAATGTCCCCACGGCTGATTTTTCTCCAATACTTCCCGCGAGAAAAAATGACCCCCTGTAATATGAAAATTCACTCTAATTGTCGTTTCCCTGACAAAGGAACGTAACCTGATTCCAACGTTGCAAAATTCCCTCAAAGGATCCTATTCTCACAAGAATGTACTTGTGTAATTTTTGACCACGATTTTCCTGATTTTTGCACGAGATCAGATGAAAAATCAGTGAAATTTCCGATCAGGAATGCCCAAGATCCTACAATCAAAATTGCATTTGCAAGAGGACATTCAGCAACATTGAAATGTCGATACGTTCTTCCGTGTGGGAAACGACGGACTGAAGTGAGCGTTTGATTACACGAGGAGAAATTCTACTCTCATACCGTAGAGAATTAAACGCATGAAGTAAGAATTGATTTACATGAGGTGAAAAATCATCGAAACGAAGTGAAAATTCATTTACGTGAGCTGAAAATTCATTCATTTGAAGTGGAAGTTCATTCACACGAGGTGAAAGTTTGCTTCAATGAAGAGAAAGTTCGCTCACGTGGGATGGCGTACGTTACGTTTGATGCCCCGAATAACTTCGTTGGGATATTAAAACTTTGGACAGAACACGTGGTAGCCGAGCTTTCGTAATGGAATTTAGGTTCGTGCAACTAAACGTCCGGTAGACGTAACCGAATTATCCCCAAGCCAAGATGATTCGATCGACCGCGTAGTTTAAAGTAAGTAAACGTTTTGCACGAGGAGAGAGTTTGCTCTAGTGGAGTGAAAAATCAGTGTATGGAGTAAATGCGGGTGGAAGTTCACTCACACTCCAGGTAAAAACTTTTTTCACATGAAGTGAAAGTCTACTCTCACGAGGTGAAATCTCCCTCTTTGATCACATGGGGTCAAATATCTCTCTCTTGGAGTTAAAGTTAACTCACACGAAGAGAAAGTTGACTTGAACCGAGTGAAAGTTCCTTTGCGTGAAGTGCAATATCTCCATCACGAAGTGACACACAAGGAGAAAGTTTCCTCTCATGAGGTGAAAGCTCAGGGAACAATGCGAGTATATTCGTATACGTACGTACACCTACATGTTCGTTATGTACGTAGATCATGGATGGAGCTTTTAAGGCTCAAAAGGGCAGGCAACTTATGGACTCAAATTAGTAAGAGCGCTTCATTATTACAATGGACCAATAGACAAGGTACGAATTTAAGCATTCTAATACATGTTTCTTGACCAGAATTTCACGTGGAACACGATTCGCGCAACGAAAATTACCGAAATCAACTCCTAACGAAGGTATTAACGTTTATATTTCACATTGGTTACGAGGAGTTTGAACTGCCCGCTCACAAGAAACTCAAAGCTCTACGTGAGTCAAATCGTGCACTAGAACGGTTCCAGCAAACTTCTCAATCAAGCGATTTTCATTTCCCATACCACGTGCTGTTCAAACTATAAACAACTTACAATAGCTGAGCTAAAGCGTCAAGATTAAGGTTGCCAGATTTTTATATCGCAGAGACTGTCATGATAAAGTTTAGCGCGCGATGTGAGTCACGTAGAGCATTGAGTTTTCATGAGCGGGTGGTTTGAATTTACGCATCAAGAATCAGTATTTATCTTCGTAAGGAGTTAATTGCGGTAATTTTTGTCGTGCGCATCGTGTTCTACGCGAAATTTTAGTTACGAAACATGTATCAGAATGCTGAAATTCGTACCTTGTCTAGTGGTCCATTGTTACGATCCGCGGCGTTTGTAAAACACGTACATTTGACTTAATATTTGCATACATGTTTTCATTTCTGCGGAAGAACGCCCATTTATGAACAATTCTGGCCATCTTAGTTTGATATTGGAAGTTTGATTTCGCAGCGACATTTTTTGTGTTAGAGGGTCGGCTACCCTTTTGGGCCCTCAGAGTTCCATATGTAGACAGCATGTCCGCACTCTATCTCTGTCGCACTCTATCGTCCGCACTCTATCTATAGATACTCTTTACGGCCGTGCTAAGGAAAAACGTCGTATTATCCTTCAAACGTCTCTATATTTCTTTTAATAATGACAAATTTAATGGGAAAAGTGTGATACTTTTCTTTACATTTTTCGGACAATCGTTTTTTGCAATTTAATCTAAAATATCTGAAAATTTCAAAGAAATATATGCATAACTTTCCTCAAATGCATAACTTTCCCCTTCTCTCGGTTCACTATAGATATATACGAAAAGATAGAAATCGGAAGGTTACGTTACATCTCTCGGCACTAAGTTAAGCTAAGAGCCGAGGATTCTATCTATATAATCAAATAATGCCTCATGAATGATGGAAACGTTGGTGCAAATAATCTGGAGCAGAACAAAATTTAGACGTCAAATTTTTTAAATAGTCACAGGCAGCTTCATGAACACTTTCAACATGGCAGGATAATTTGGTACAGTGCGGAACGAACCATTAGAAGAGGTCGGACATGAAATCTTTTACGAAAATTTCAAAGTTTTGCTATTTATTTCGTCACAAATTCAATTTCAAGAGGTGTCTCTGAAAGGATAACTCACGAAAAAAACAATGGAACCACTCTTTATCTTTTTTGTTTAATATTTTTGAAAATAAAAGCTTTCAAAGTTTCTAGATTTTCGTCGCTCCTCTAACGTACGGGCGTATCTCAATTTTCACGTGATCCCTATTCTCCATATAATTTCATGTTTTCTGGGCTCATGTGAGAATAGGGATACGCCCTTACGTCAGAGGAGGTTTTGTCCGACTTCTCCTATTGATGCATTTCACTATGTGCCGGACTGAGCGAAAATGATAAAGGCACTTCGAGCAACTATTCGTGCCTCCAAGCCGGTCATATTGCCGTCGCAGTTATTGAAGGCGGACTAAAATGCAGAGGCGGCATGAATGTGCATGAGCTGAATAGATGATTCATGGCGCTCCTCGGTAAATGTGTCGCCTTTCGGGTAAAGTGAACGTGAACTTCACACGAATAATATTTTCGAATATGGTTACCTCTGATAAGTTCTGCTCGTTTTGGAGATGATGATGTGAAGTAATCTTCCTTTTTCCAATTCGTGGCTATTGATTATTTTCCAGGTACTTCCATTAGACTTTTCGACACCCTAAAGAAATGCAGAAGTTCCAAGTGCATTTAAAGTTTATTTCTTAGTTGAGTTTCTTTTTCCTCAAATTTTTCTCCTTATCTCCTTTTTCCCCGGTCATTTTTAGTTACTAAATACTACTCTAAGACATCAATCCTTACTATTACTTGATACTTATTCGATAGTTCGTGGCCTTCTTCTTCTAATTTTAAATGATTTTACGTTCCTGTTTCATGCTGCAAATGTAAATGTTATTATTTTTCAGCCAAATGTCTCGCCTTTTTCTGCGTTCCGTCCAACATGTGTTTAAGAGCACTAGTTAAACGATTAATCTTGTAAACCATTTTGGCAACTTAATTTTTGCAAGCCATCTTTTAAAATGGTCTTGTAACACTTCTATTTGAGATATTTTGTACTCTGTATTCAATAAAATGTTGTTGATGTGCAAATTTTTGAATTTACTTAAGACACTAAATATTCCTGACATTGCCGCGATGCCAGCCTCCGTCTACATTGTGTGAAGAACCTCCTTCGTGGAGATTTGAAAGATTCAGAATATATAGTTTCCTTCACAAAACAACGTATTTAATGTGTTTCAGAATGCCCATTCAGAAAAAACAGCGTCAAATGAAGTCCCAGAAGATGATGGAGAGTCCCAGAAATTCACTTTCCATGAAAGTCAAATCTCAACGGCAACCAACACTGAAAAGGTACGTCAAAATTAAAGAAGAGGCTTTTGCGTTTTTGAGCACTCGTAGTTTGTTTTAACATTATAGATATCATCAGGGCATTAAAAAGAAAAGAAAAATCATAATATTGTGTTACATTATAGAACGAGTGAGGGATCAAAACACAAATGATTACCGTCAAA